ATGAGTTACAGCCTGGTTAGGCGAGGAGCTGCCAATGTGAAATATCAGTTTTCGCGGTGGGGCCGAGAGCTGCCAAAGAATGTGAAATCAGTTTTTCGCGTTGGCCGCGACGAGTGCCAATATAGACTGGGTACCCGGTCGCCACTTCACTCGGCATATATCCTTCGCCCTACAATGAAGTTAGTGCGGGAGGCCCGTATGGACAGTGGACTAATACCACTGGCGGCGTTGTGGATAAGATACGATACCGTGTGGCGAAGTCATATGCTAGGAATGAAGAGCGGGAGAAGGAGAAGCTGGAGACTGAGAAGGAGCAAGGGGGGAGAAGGAGAACGTGGGGTGGAGAAGTTCCAGGAATGGAGAAGCTGGTGGAGTAGGAGGAAGGGGAGAAGGAAGAGAAGGTGGTGGAGAACAGAAAGAGGAGGGGAGAAGCTGGGTGAGGAGAAGGAGAGGAGCGGGAAAAGGGCAGAAAGGTTTCGGAGGAGGAGGGGGGAGAAGCTGGTGGAGAAGGAGGAGGGGGAGAAGAGAGAAAGAGAGGTGGCGTGAGAGAAAGATTGGGGCAGAAGCTGGGTGGAGGAGGGGGAGAAGGGAGAAGGGGGTGGCAGGAAGCGCGCAGAAAGCTGGTTAAGAAGGAGGGAGAAGCTGGCTTGGGAGAAGGAGGAAAGGGGGAGGCAGGGAAGCAGGTGGTGGAGAAGGAGCGCGGGGAGGAGAGAGGGAGAAGGAGCTGTGGGAGAGGAGGGGGAGAAGAGAGAAGGGCGATAAGCAGGAGGGAAGGGGGAGAGAAGGGAGCTGAGTGGAGGAGGAGGGGGAGAAGGAGGAGGAACTGTTGATGAGAAGGAGAAGGGGAGAAGCTGGTGGAGAAGGAGGGGGAGGGAGGAAGAACAGGTGGTGGAGAGGAGAGGCCAGGAGAAGGAGAGGGAGCAAAGAGAGTGGGGAGGGGAGGCGGAGAAGGGGAGAAGCGGGATAAGGAGGAAGAAGAGGGGGAGAAGGGGCTAGTAGAGGAGGAGGCGGGAGAAGGGAGAAGGGTGCTGTGAGGAGGGCGGAAAAAGCTGGTGGAGAAGCAGGAGGGGAGAAGGAAGAACGGTGGTAGAAGAAGGAGAGAGGGAGAGCTGTTGGAGAGAGAAGAAGGAGGAAGGGAGGAGAGGGGGCCGAGTGAACTGGGACAGCGAGCGCCTTTTCAATGTCTTTAGTCCTGTATTTCTATCTCTGGAACGAATCCGAGGGTCGAGGTTGAAGAGGGGGTAGGGCAGGGACCGAAGAAAGGCGAGGAAAGGGCGGGAGGGGATAAGGTAGGGGTGAGAAGGGAGAGGGGATAAGTGGACGGCGGGAAGATAGGAGTGTCGTTCTTTGAAAGAGGAGATGGGAGAAGCTGTGTGAGTTGGAGAAGGTTGCGCGGAAGGTGGGAGAAGGCTGTGATCTTGCGTGAGAAGAGGATTAGGCGTGTGATTACTGGAGGAACAGGCAAGAGAATAGAAAAAAGGTAATGTCGATGCCTAGAGAAGGAGGGAGGAAAGCTGGTGGCGGAGAAGGAGGAGGGGGAGAAAAGCTGCGTGGGAGAAAGGAGGAACGGGAAGAGAAGAGAAGAGGCGGGAAAAAGGGAAGCCGATGGTGGGAGGAGGGGGGGAGAAGGGAGAAGCGTTGGATGGAGGGGAAGCGGGAGAAGGGAGAAGATAAGGAGGGGGAGAAGGGAGAAGAGGAGTAAGAGGGGGAGAAGGGAGTGTGTTGAAAGAGGAGGGGAGAAGGGAGAAGGGTTGTGGATGAAGTCGGGAAAAGGCTGGGTGGAGAAGGAGGAAGGGTGAAAGAAGAAAGTAGAAGAAGGAGAGGGGAATTGAATGCTGGCTTGGGAGAAGGGGAGTGTGGGAGAGATAGCTTCGGTGGAGAAGAGTGAGTCTGGGACCTGGACGGGCGAGAAGAAGGCGTGGGAAAAGGGGATGACAATCAGGGTACGCGAATGGCCGTAAAGTTAGGAGCTGTGTGGAGGAGGAGGCCGTGAGAAGGAGAAGCTGGTGGAGAGGAAAGATTGCGAAGAGGGGCGAGAAGGCTGGTAGAGAAGGAGGGGGAGAGAGGAGAGCGGGGCGGAGAAGGAGGGAGGAAGCTGAGTGGGGAAGGAGCGAAGCTCACGACAGCTTCTCCCCCTCCCTCCTTCTCACCAGCTTTCCTTCTCCCATCCTCCTCCACCAGTCCCTTCTCCCCCTCCTTCTCTGCCTTCTCCTTCTCTCCACCGAGAATCTCCCTCTTCATCCACCAGCTTCCGCCAATCCTCCTTCTTCCACACCTTCTCTTGCTTCCCTTCTCCTTCTCCACCAGACTTCTCCCCTCCTCTTCTCACCAGCTTCTCCCCTCGCCTTCTTGCACACCTTCTCCCTTCCCCTTACTCCTTCTCACCAGCTTTCCCCTCCTCCACCACGTCTCTTGATCCCTCCTCCACCGCTTCCTTCTCCCCCTCCTTAGCCCTTCTCCCTTCTCCCCTCCTCGCCTCACCAGCTCGTTCTCCCCCTTTCCATATCTCACCGCTTCTCTCCCCCTCCCTCCAACCACCTATCTCCCTTTTCCCCCTCGCGCACACCTTCTCCCTTCGGTCCCACTTCTCCACCGAACCTTCTTTCTTATTCCCCCTCTCATTTCACTTTACTTTTAATTTTGATTTCGTTTTGATTTTGATTTTGATTTTGATTTTGATTTTGATTTTGATTTTGATTTTGATTTTGATTTTGATTTCGTTTTGATTTTGATTTTGATTTTGATCTTGATTTTGATTTTGATTTCGATTTCGTTTTGATTTTGATTTTGATTTTGATTTCGATTTTGATTTCGTTTTGATTTTGAATTTGATTTTGATTTTGATTTTGATTTTGATTTTGATTTTGATTTCGATTTTGATTTCGTTTTGATTTTGATTTCGATTTTGATTTTGTTTTGAATTTGGTTTTGATTTTTTTTTTTTTGCTTTTATTTATTTCAGAGGTAAAATTGTAGTGGCAGCCCTCGGCCACCATAATGGTGTATGGACAATATGGGGTAAAAGTCTTATAATCGCTATAAATTAACCAGTTCGAACTAAATGCATGCACTCTAGATGCAATGAGGTATGACACCTGAAGGCACACACTCTAAAAGAAATCTGTTCTAACTACAAAACATATAGCCAAAGATTCTGGGCAGCACCTGCTATAACACTATGCGATGCATTGCTAGCTGAAATGCATGGCGACGTTTGTAGATTGACTGACCTCTATTCAGTGTCCTGCAGAGACGTCTGTAATACTGCACCTCATCCGGACAGATCAACGTCACGCTGACGCCCTCCTGTGCTGCCCTAGCTGTACGACCACTTCGGTGGATGTAGCTCTGCAAACAGCATTGGAACACGATTGAAACCCTTCACTCTGCTATTAGCCGCTAAAATTCACTGACCCGCTACTTGTATCAGACATAATTTTCTTACCCGACTTCTTTCTCTATATATGATATCAGGGGTTAATAATGACTAACAATTTGTCATTATTAACCCCTGATGATATCTTTTTATGAGGACCTTTACGAACCAAATTATAGCTGATACCCTCCACTTACACCTATCACCTACTAGGTATACCGTTCCCTGACCTAATCGCGTGTGCTTTACCTAACCAATTCTGTTATTAACTGAGCTTTTTATGTAACCTAAAAACCTTGCCTTATAGGACATGTTTCTCTTATCCAATACCATTCACTATCATTTAGGCATGCTAGTAGTTGTTAGAAAGCCATTTAATACCATTCTTCAAACACTGCTCACCTCAGATGTTTTTGCCACTTGGTAATGAATGACGTGCTTGACATTTGGAATGTCCAGTCCGCGGGCGGCTACGTCCGTTGCCATTAGCAACCCGTTTTCATCCTCTAAAAATCAAGAACAATCACGTATGCGCTACAGTACGAGCTCATCTAGTAAGGGTAGAAAAAGGATAACAGTGCAGACAGCATAACATTTTAATGTGGCACGCATACTGAAAGGGCCAAGACCCAAATTCTAGTGAAAATATCCAACCTGAGTGCGAAAATGAAGGCGTGGTATATAGCTGAAAGCACGAAGACATTTACACGTAACAAAACAACAAAACGTATCTAAACAATGCAAACAAACAAATATCAATCTGATCGAAGAACAAATGATGCGGTGTGTCTTGCGCGTGCATGCTTACTCTGAAACGCCTCAAGGTTCTTGAGCCTCTGTCGCTGCTGCATGGACCCATGCAATGCCTTGACGCTGCGCTGCAGTAGGGTGAAGATGGGTGCGAGACGTCGTATGCACGAGATGCTGTTTGCAAAAACCAGCGTGCGGCCAGGATACTTCAGCAGGAAGTAGTACATGTACATGTCCTGCAAGAAGCAACCACGGCTGACATTAGAACACTTCATTCACACGGCCACGCTATGAGAAGATGTGCTATTGACAGCAACAGAATAAAACCTCAATTCTATACATCACTAAATCCAGCATGTATATGTGTATGTATTATTTATTCTACTATATATATATATCAGGGCTTGAAACTAACCTAAAATGTTCACTAGCCACAGCAGGGCTAGTGACCCTGTTATAAAAATCTACTAGCCTCCTTAAAATACTCCCGAGCCGCTTTTCCTTTTTCTGAGATACAGTGTCGCCGCCTTGTAGGCTACTGCAAGTGTGAGCAACAATTTTGTCATTTGCAGCGGGAAGCGGTGTGGGCGCTGCGGGGCGGAGTGTGGGTGGCATCTGGGCTTCTTGATTTTGACGCTCCGACAGATGCAATTCTGTCGAATTGCCTTGCCTGTGAAGATTAGACCTTCGCATAGTATTGTCGGACGCTATCCTATATGATTATATATATATATACATAACTAGTGCTTATATTTATATACTTCAAGAGCCTAATAAATACCCTAGATGTCTACAACGAGGAATAGTTCTATTTCACGCCGCGCATTATTATTCCTCCTTTTGTATGCGCGCTTATTAGCACTAAGTTCATGGGGCACTTAGTGCCGTGAAGCAGCATCTTTGCTCTCTAAAATAGACAAAACGGGGTTGTCCCCTACACGGATAATTCAGTAGGCCGGAGATTTCCGCCGAGCGTAATCATCAGCTCCCACAGGTCTCCGCAGTAGAATAATTCGCCTGGTGGAATACGCCCATATTCCCGAGTTGCGCTTATATCTGCCATTGTAACTTCTATGAGTGTTATCATTAGCTTTGTATATATATATACACACGTCTTAATTACATCACATGAAATACTATCTACGCTATCTCCGGCTTCTATGTTTTACGTGTAGCAGGATATTCCGTATAGTTAACGATATAGAATATTAGTCAGGTCTACGGAAATACTGAAAGTTCATGCATTAATTTGAACGTTTGTCACTTCTATCTCTATAGTCTTGTAATGTGCTCTACTACAAGTCACAGAGTTTCGGTTAGCTAGTTGTTCGAAGTACTATGTATAGAGTTATGTACGAGTGTATCCTGTTGTGTTAGTCTGCAGATTTGTTAGTTGTAGCGTACGTTGCTTAGCTTGACTGAAGTGGTGATAGCGTCCACACAGTAAGTGTGTTATGCATAGTGTTAGGAATGAACATCGTCATTTAACAAGGCTGCTAGAATAACAGTTCTGGAATTGTTAGCGATTTAAGAGCCTGTTATTTTCATAACTAGTACCTGATAATCGCGACTACTATTCACGGTTAATTATAGAACTTATAGGACTGGGATTCGTATATTCATGCACTGGGTGATTCCAATCCGATATAGTAAATTTGAGTTTTCTAATTTGATTACAATGTTAGCAACCGTCAAATTGAATAATCTCATCGGTCCCTTGTATAAAGGGGAGGATTGCTAGTGTTTAACCCTGAGCGTTCAGCTGAAACGTAAACTAAGTTAACTAACCGTTCCACGAACGGTACACACAGAAAGTAGAACAGAACCGTATTTGCGTATATACACTGTGCAGGGCATTGCATGAGGCTTCGTGAATATAGAGCAGCATGGTGGTTGGAACCGATTTTATTGTCTGAGGTACTGTGACTGTTGCTTTTTAGTTTAGGTTTTGCAATTTTATTATGTTTGCACACGCAAATTTTATATTACTTATTACTAGTTCGGTCGGGTTAGTAGTTGCTGAAAAAGTACTAGTAATATGTTATCTGGTAGGCATTCCTACTCGCCAACAGGGCTGGTCAGACCAGACATTCTACTAGCCCTTACTGATTTCTACTAGCCTCGGGCGAGCGGGCGAGCGTTAGTTTCAAGCCCTGTATATATATATATAAAAATACTAGAATAACATAGAGTTGTAGCAAATATATCAGATAACATAATCATCTTATTGCTCTTGGTATCACCCACTATCCCTGTAGGTTGCTCCTTCTCCCACCCGCTCCTCCCCTTCTCACATCACTTCCCTGCATTACAGCTAGGGCTGTAACGATAAACAAGCCTCTCGATTCGATCCGGTTCTCGATATTAGCCTCTCGAGTCGATTCCTTCGAATCGTCGATTCCTTCGAATCGATTCCCAAAATATTGAAATGTTATCTTATTTTTTATATTTTCATTATTTTGCAATAATAAATTATTAGAAATTGCCCATGAATACTAAATGGTGAATAGACTAGAGAGTCTAGGGAGTATATATACACTGAACAGGCGCTGAGTAACATTGGTGAGTAACACCAGAGCATATAAATCAGTGATTTATATGCTCTGGTAACACTCCAGTATATAGCGTAGTGCCGCCATTTATTGGAGGAAAAAAGTGGTATAAAGTGGAATCGAAAATACGGGGAAAAACATCGAGGATCGGATCGAAGGAAGAGAATCTCGATCCGATTCGATTTCGGTGGATCGTTACAGACCTAATTACAGCCATCCCTTATTATCGTTTCACCCACCACTTTAGTACCCATTCAATTCTTAATACACAGCAGCTGCCGAGTTCTTTCCACTTAGAGCACCAACCTTCTCCGCCAAGCTGCAGTTTATGCGTGTTTCATGGATGCGCTCAGCAGTCCCTGTCTTCGTGCTTAGATCTATCACCTTGTGTTTCTCCTTGATCCCGATCTGCCTGACCAGATGCTCTGAATGTGCAAAGCTATTACTTATGAGAAATAAACTATGTGTACATAATATAAACAGATATAAAATGCAGAATAAATTTACAGAGCTACCGCTGGCGTTCGCCAGCTTCGCAAAATGTAATAAATAAATAACAGTGGCGACTTTACTACATCAAGTGGCAAATACAATTGGCGAATGATTTAACTGCTCACAAATTTATTATTCAATAATAAAATCGTCAAATGGCAGTAGGTAGCCCCAACTGAAGCCTAGATAGAATTTTCTTTGTCAGTAAAAAATTTGTGTTTACTCCTCATTCACTCCTAATTCTGAAAGCTCGGATCATCAGGTCTTATGCCACCACACACAATTTACACTTATCATACACACCCAGCTTCTGGGTGACATCTGTCAATGGCTTCTTTTTCTTCTTCATAACTCTGTTGGGGCCAAGGTGAATCAAGGTCAGTGTTGCCGAGAACACAAAGGTCTGCCGTTGTTTCTTTGCCTCTTCGTTTCTGAAAAATGTGCAAGTGCTCAACATGGTCACCAAATGTATGAGTATGCATGCGTGTCACTAGGCCATGGTGAAATTCGAGCCCGGATACGATTCTATAGATTGACACAGTATGAGATAAGTCACACAATTTAAATGCAGAGAAATATCACAACATCCGATGTACAAAGTATTAGCAATGGAAACGGTGCAAAGCACATCACGGACATGATGAATTATATACCTGCAATTAAAAAATGGGTATTACATCATCTTGTGAGTACTATACTCACTCATTTATCAACTCTAAGATGCTGGCCAGTTCTGCAAAATGGCCCTTCTCAATCATCCTGTCAGCTTCATCCACGACAAGGAATTGGATGTCCTTCATTGTACTCAGGTAAGCAGTTCCCTGAGAAACAGACGACGTAAGTAACACATGTCGACAGGTATCGTCTTAGTAACCCAGACAATAGTAGAAACAGCACATTGGAAAATGTTCATTCCTTGCATACAAGGGCATACTGAGAGACTAGGCACCCAATTACCCAACAAGCACGTATGACTTTAATCTCTGAAACCTCTGTCGAATCATTAACCCAAGTTAAACCTATTTGTTAATGAATTCTATCTGATTTCATATTTAGCCTGGTTTTCCCACTTATATGATGTGTGCCAATCAAATCTCCTTGTCAAGCTATGCCTACGACAACATATATGTTTGAATCACACTGTATTGCATTGGTTATATTTTTCCTCATCCAAATGATAAATACCTGTCGGTGTAATTCCCACAGCCTTCCTGGTGTCGCAACAACTATCTCGGGCTCCTGACGAAGCAAGCGAGCTTGCTTTTCCAGTGAGATGCCGCCTATAACAGCAGCCACCTTCATAAAAGATAATATAACATTTTTATGTATGAAAGCTTGGTAATGAAAACAGCTGGAACCAAAAACTAGCCTCTTTAGTTTTACAGTTCTTTACGTTCAACTCAATCAGTATAAAATTTGTTCTTTTGAACAGATAGTATCACATTATTGAATTCAGCCTTTCCTTATGGAAGTAAACCTGCATACTGATGTAATGAGGATGATACTATATTACAATCACGATTTTCGATTCACATTATATAAAATGCAATATAATACTTATTATGTGCACAGTCAAAGCCATGTTAACAGCCACCTAGATATAATAGCCATCGGCCCATGAAGAACACGTTTGCTGTTTCCCTTGAGTAACAGTTATACACAGGTCTGACTGTAAATATTTACATCTGGATTCTCACTTTGATGTCCGTATGCCGTGCAGCAATGGTCAGGTGGTTCTTCACTTGTACGGCTAGTTCCCTGGTGGGCGTCAGAATAAGCGCCTGCATCTTCCTGGGAGAATGCCTCGATGGTGCCTTTGGCTGCTGCAGCATGGCATCCAGCCCTGTCACGTCGGGTATCGGGATCGGCTTTCCTCGAGGCTCTACCTCACAGTCAATGTCCTTGGTAAATCCAACACAACCTAGTCCATCAACCTTAGGAGAACAAAGACTGTTATTTTTTAGATCTTCTTAGCTGCATATAAACAGTGATTTTCTAATATCATGAATCTGTTATAGTTACTATGGCATTTTACCAGTAAAAATAACGTGCATAATCTGTATAACCCAATGTCACCCACACCTCCAGTGCAGGCAAGTCCTCCATTTCTTCAGATTCATTCCCACTATCTTCCTGCAAAACACTTTGTTGATCTTCCGCTTCATTAGGCAGTGCTGCCATCTTTTGTGAATCAGCTTTGCCACTAGTAGTGTCATTGCCTGTGAACTTATTCCGACTGTTTAGACGTGTGGAATTTTGACTTAAAATGCGTTGTATGATCGGTATTCCAAATGCCAAGGTTTTCCCACTTCCCTGCAGAAACACACACAAAAGAAATGCGAATACGTTCATCTTCACAGAAATATGAAACACAGTGCTATAGTATTGCCAGGAATTCGATTTCCAGTTACAAGATTAACCATATCTTCCCACGTAGTTACATAATCAAAAAATAAATAAATAACTATTTGTAATAACTTGACTTTGTATGGCAAGGAGAATTGATTTCGAGAGTGAGCAGAGAAAAACTCTACCGTTTCAGCAGCGCCGACAATATCCATTCTATCACGGATGGCAGATGGTAGAGCGAGAGCTTGTATGTGGGTTGGGGATGAAAAACCCTGTTCTCTGAGAGCTTCAAGCACAGGTGCAGGAACGAACAGATCCTTCCATGACGCCATGTCACATTCTGAAACGACAACAGCACTCTTAGTAAGGGGCATAATCTTGAATCCAATATCTCAAACTTACAAACGTATGAAAAAATATATTGAGACAAGGTTATAAAAATTAACTCAATAAAAAGTTTAGATTTGAAATAAAACATATATAATGCAAAATAAAACAAATTCAGAATACCTTGATTATCCTTAGAACTATTTCTTGTCATTCCGATCTGACTCTCTTTGGCCTTCTTTTTTTCAGGCTTTGCCTTGGTTATTTGCTTAGCTTTTCTTTTGACGGATGGGTCTACTGCATTGTCTTTTAGGTTTTTGGTCAGATGCTTGGCCTTTATGTTTTGTGTTTCAGGCTTGCTTGTAGTTATCTCTTCTGTACTCGATCTACTTATATTTTTTTTATTTTTCAGTTTACTTTTTGTTAATAGTCTTTCCACAACATCTGGACTGCTGCAGTCATTACTATCAGAATTTGACAATTTCTTCTTTTTGCTCTTCTTTCTCTTTTTCACTCTTTCATTATTAGTGTCCCCTTCATCAATTATATCTGGAACTGCCATCGAAAAACATGGATTTCAACAGATTTATAGCATATAAGTATAGAAAATTTCATTTTTGATAAGATTTTGATTGTATCACATGATTGTATCACAGGTTCTGTACAAGATGATTGCTACTCTAGTATCATTTTTAAATAATGATTAAATTAATAAAGTCATTATTTAAAAACAACCTGACTCGGGCATTAACTATCAGTGGTAGTATCACCAAGAATGTGTTTTCAATTCTCCACGTACTATAATACCCTTTACATTTTTTGTCAATCTCTCAAGCCTAGGATCCACCAATTCTTTATTTAACTTCTCCCTACAATCCTGTTCACCGTTACTGTCATTACCTGCCAATGCATTGTGGTCACTTTTTGATGTCCTTGTTTTCTTCTTAAGTGTTTTTTTCTTTTTACTCTGGAAAACATATGACATATGCCACTACTCACATTTTAATTTTCATGTGCACTACCGGCACTGCTTAGTGTAGATACAATAATGTAACCCAACAATAGTAGGGTTACAACGCCAACACCGTTTTTGCGTACGTGGAGCCACCCTGAGTGATTCACACAGGGGGAGTTTATGATGCGTTCTTGGGGACTACGTACTTCCAATCTGGTTTTATCCGGAACACAAATCCTTTTTCTCAATCCCAAGCATTACGCTCCACAACAATAACGGCTCTGAAGCGTTTATATACCGAGTCTGTTTCAAATGATCGATGTGAAGAGCAGCAATTTATCCAACCGCCATTTCTGTTGACCTAGCTGTGACGCTAACCCGACCAGGCTGTGTGACTAACGTCAATATACACAGCCTGACATCCATCCATTGGAAAATCTTGTAGCTCTACAAAAACTACCGAACAATTACGTATATCTCAAATAAAATGATCATCTAAGCATTTCTGCCTTGTTTAGTATTAAGTATAACCTTCATCTTATAGTATTCAAGCGTCGTTATTAAAACTAATACCTTAGTTCGCTGTGCACAGTGTAAATTTCAAGAGCCGAACCGAAATTTACTTTCACCGCCAAGTTTCCACTACGCATGCGTTTCGAATCTTTCGATCGGAACGCGGAAAACCCGAAATGACATAACATACCATAGCGTTACAACTCGCGTTGGCGCGAGCATAAATAAGCATCATATACTCGTATATATAAATATTAAAACATTGAAAACCAGGAAACATCAATCTACAAGTTACAACAACTTAATAATTATCATTGCGAAGATATGTACTTTCCTTGTGTTTAGGCCTACGCACTGTGAAAATCAGGTCCATTGCCGATTTTACTATTTTTAGTCGCACCAAACATGGCGGCTTTCTTGTTGTGTTCATCCAATTAATCTCAGAAAATACGGCATAACTAGATAAATAAGTAGCGCCCAGTTACCGCGAGCAAGCCAGAGGTTTATAGATTTGTCTGAGCTATTACATGTGACGCTAGTTGTGTCGATGGTTGGATACCGAGCCAACTACAAGGTTTTATGGGCAAGAATTTGAAACGGTATTCTAACCCTAGCAATACCGTTTCTTGGAGCTAGCTGTGACGCAAGCTTTCCCAATGCGCATAGCACTCAGCTAACTTGGGTTTCAAGAGTAAATGGATCACGGGATGCCCGAGAAAAGTTCGCCGTGCAGATATAGATGTGACGCGTCATTTGCTCTTGGCGGTTGGATAAATAGCCGCTCTTCAGATCGATCTTTTGAAACACTACAGTACAGTATATAAACGCTTCAGTCTTGAGAGCCGTTATTGTGGTGGTGCAATTGTCGGGATTGAGAAAAAAGATTCATCATATTCAGCTAGGATAAAATCAGATTGGAAGTACGTTGTCCCCAAGAACACATCACAACTCCCCTGTGTGAATCACTCAGGGCGGCTCCACGCAAAAACGGTGTTGGCGTTCGGCTGTAACCCTACTCTTGAGTCTTGTTGGGTTTATACATGTATCTATTCTAATTTCTATGCTAATACTAGTAATACTATTAGAATACTAATACTAGTATAGTATTAGTAATACTAGTAATACTACTATTACTAGTTATACTTTATACTTATAGTCTACCAGTAGTACCACGATAGACTTAGGACTAGTGACTTGTTAATGCTTAAAACCATATTTACCGTAGTGAAAATATCATAGTCTTCGAGTACTTCAAGTCCAGCTAAATCTCCAAACTCTTCATTGTCATCCCAATGATCTAATTTCACTGATTTCCATTCACCACGTGTTTGTACTCGTGCTTTAACTTTCTCCTTCTTTTTGGATGCCATTATTATTTACTTCCCGATGGCGACATCTGCCGGCGGTATAGTAAAACACAAACAGCAGTGAATAATAATAATATATGCACGTTAAATATTTCTGTATGTTCCAATGGATCAAAATTTAGAAAATATCATAGCTATTGTATCTCTGGTATATATAGGAATATATTGCTAATTAAAACGTAAAACTAGATATGAATGCTCACTGTATGTAGTGTTCTTATGTTTGCGCTCTGAAACCAAAATATTGTTGTCGGAACGTGCACGTGCATGGTGTATATTTCATTGCAATTTAGTCTCAAAATTGATTAGAATATTTTAGTTAATACTACAACATTAATAAGCGGAACTTCCGACCGTGTATTTATAGTCCATACTTTGACATACCTGCTGTGGATATTCCACGGCTGCGAGCGCACAGACCGACGGGAGAAGGAAGGACTAAGCCTTATACTATAGGCGCAAGCCTCCTAAGCCAAGGTGCACAGGTGAGATAGTACACTGACACACTACACATGATTGTCATGTCTTTTGACATATGACATTGTTATTATTAATTCGTATGTTATCTATTATTTATGTTAGTATGTTATTAGCCCGACGAGGCTGTGTGACTGATTGTCTATACAAATGATACAAAGTATCAATATACCGGTACAATATACAAATATACAATTGTAATACTAATACAAAGTGATTAGCAAGACCGTTTCTTGGAGCTAGTAATACTAATAGTAGTATATGTTATGTAAACTGGACTTGCGCCTACAGCTGCTTTTAAATTGTTATAATAATTATATATTGGTAAAACGTAAACAATACGCTGAACCACAATTAATTAATAATTATACGCATAATTATAACCCAACCCTACCCCTAACCTAATCTTTATCTTGAGTATGTCATTAAAATCGAGTTCCTGCAGTAGGCTTCAACCAAAAGTAGTTAACCAGTTTGTGATCTGCTTTATTTAAATTGTCCCATATTTATGTGTTCTAGCAAGCAGTTGCTTTCCTAGCTCCTTCACTGATGATTTCATGTCATGGGTTGGGTCAGGTTTTCTAGTCCTGTCCAGATTTTAGTGTTGCTGACTTTGATAAGAAGTGGCTGATTCATCCGCTGTTTGAACGATCAGTGGGGATATCTTTTTTGTCCTGTTCTTCCCCATAGCTCACGGTTGGTATTATTTATATAGTTCATGTTACACAGTTGATATAATTTTGTCAGGCCATCTGGTACATGAGGTTTTCCTTAGTCAGGCATTGATGAAGTATTACATTTCATTTTGAATTGATTCGCTCCGAACCATGCAGCTGTACGACTTGACTTGGGAGCTAAAGATTCTGAGCATTGTCAATTGTTTTCACTTTCTGCTGTGTTCCAAATGTATTTCGTTGTAATGAAGTGTGCTCGTAGTGTTTCAGTTTCTGACCTGTCTGCCACAATCGTGTCTCTACTTCTTTGCTTGTGTGTGACGTAACTTTCCATACGAATAATATTCAATATATATATATAATAATGATAAACAAAAATCATGCATGCTATATAATTTCGTTGTCATATCAAATTTACCGAGCGGTCATAGAGCTTGCATCTGTCATGCATATGAAAAAAAGCAGTATATGTACAGTTTGTATTGTTGGTGCAAGTAGTAGTCATAGTAATAATAGTAGAGCTAGCAGTAGCAATATGCAGTATGACTGCTTTTGATTGAGAACTACACCGAACAAATGAATTTAACATTCTGAACAACTGAAATTTTGGTAAAATTAAACATTATAGTGTGACATGAGGCTGAGTTCATAACAACTGATTGTTATGGTTTGCCAGCGTGTCAGAAAACGTGCTTCTGTTAAAGCTGACGTATAAAAGTCAAGATCTTCCAAGTCAATAAGTTAAGTTGAATATACCGAGCTTTGTGTCTCGGTGTGTACCTGTCTCGGTCTACTTTAGTCGGTGCTTGCACACGGTCACGGTTCACATTCCACCTGACTGACTTCTGTATACTGCACACCAGAAAGGCGATGTTGACCAGAAAGAAACCACTGAGGCACTGACCCACCAGAAAGTGTGACTAGGCGATGTTGAGATGTGTAGATGTAATCAAGAGCGTATAATTAAGAAGGTACCTTCTTTATACGCTCTTGATGTAATATATATACCGGTTGTAATATATCCTCGGTCCTTGCGTCTCCTGGAACGCTCACTTATACTAGGCGGGGGCTTATATACAGTAACACCGTGTAGTTGACCTTCAGCCCTAATTAACGCATCTGCAGATACAGATTAGGTGTAAATATGTAAACACAGAGCGAATGCGCTTGTGTGATGGATTGTTCTGCTTTCCTGGCACGTTCTGTCATGTGGCGGCAGATATTCGCTGCCGATCATGATTCTTTGAGCATCGCGAAATTGAGTTCCGCTGGAGGTATTTTTTTCTCCATTTTCTCTCCCGTGATGAAAATTGGATGTTGCCAGACCGCGAAATTGAGTTAGGTTGAATTACCATGTTTTAAAAAACAAACTCACTCACAGTGTCGGGGGACCCTCTACCCTGAAGTGCGCGGCCGATTGTCAGAAGGGGTTGACTCTATTAATGCAAAGGACACTGTTTCGGGTCTGGTGGCGTGCAATTTTCTAGACTAGTCTTGTAACAGTATCTTCGCCTTACGCGTAGTACTGCCCGACATTATATTGTTCTACTATTCAGTACTATACTACACTATACTATACTATAGTAGTTATATACTAGTCAGTTGGAAATTGTATATAGGCTAGTCATTTACGGATACACATATAGAAACAATATTATTGTTCTTGCTGATTTTTTTTATTTCTAACAATATTTAGTCACGATGTAAGTTCTCACGTTATATGCTCGGCTGTACGCCTGTGTAATATGGTATTTCATACGAAATATGATGCACGGAGCCGCGTGTTCGCCTATGTTCGTTCACAATTTCAAAATTATGCGCGTAAACGTCGACAGTAGGTGAACGGCAAGCAGTGAGTGTAACCGCTGCTTTTATTGTCACCTAGACCGAGCTGTATTTAAATCCAGGCATGTGTTAATCTACGCTTACAGTACGAGCGAGGACTAGTCGTGCGTAACCACGCGCGCACACACACGCACGCACGCACGCACGCGCGCGCGCAGCGCGCGCGCACACACAGCGCGCACAACGCGCACTCACACACACAACACACACACACACAACGCACACACACACCCACACACACCTACCGGCGGTGGCGCACACACGGCTGCCTCCATTTGTCATCGTTTATCGGAGTTTATTCCTACAATGTTCTGCTTAATTATTGAATGTCGCCCGTGAATAATTAAAAGGCGGGAGCGCAAGCGTTCGGCGCATAGTCGCCCGCTAATGATCGCACGTGTACGAGCCTGCGGCGTACGCGCCTGTCAGGTTATACGCTCGCAAATGTTTACACACGTCCAAAATACTGGTCGATGCCGTGTATTACACAGTCAGTAACGCGTGATATGCATTGAGAATGCGACTTAACAGCTGAACTGGTGACTGGTGACTGTGGGAACACGAACCCGTGACGAGTGTAGAGGTCTAGCTCACTGAACACAAGCGCGCTGATTTTTATAGCGAGACGGTGCGAAGTACGTGGTTTACTGGGTCTATCCGATCTCGGGGGGGGGGGTTCCTTGCGGGAATTGTAGGTGGGTCAAGATAGATCGCGGATACCAGAGAAGCGTCGCCGGAGAGTGTTGAGAGGTTGAGAGGTGATTTATTCACACCGCTATATGTTTCTGTATCGATGATTCAGTACTTGATCGATAGTAAGAGCATAGTATCAGAAGTAGATAATAGGGAACCCTATTATCTACTTCTGATAGTATGCTGTACGTTGAGATCAGTGTTGTCTAAAGACATATGACAATGACTCATTGCTAGGGTTAGAGGTAAGGTCACGTGCAACCCGTCGTAACTCCGTCGTGTGACGCACGCCTGTTTTGCGTTTGCGCATGTGACGTAGCAGGAGCTAGCGGCTATATCTATGACTTATCACGTCGCGTGCGTGCGTGAGCGCACCGCACCGGATTTTCCTAATCGCGTTTTCTCCGCGAAAGAATTTCGAAGAAAATCACGCAAAACACATCTCGTGTGGACGATGTCAATCAGCTTATTTCTGCGTTTCTCTGATCGCTGGGCGAAGCTTGCAGCTGCAAGCTTCCCAACTCTGTGCATATCGATCCTGCTTCGCCAGGCAGGGTTTGTGGGGGGCAGGTGACGGCTTACAAGGTGGACACCGAGACCAGGGTTGGTGAACGAATCAGGTGATAGGCCGCGAATTTGCTGAAATGTAAAGTAAATGACTTTGATGTTCCACCATTCCGCGGTATAACCCTGTTGGTTCTGGCAGTGTTTGTGAGTACGATTGCACGCGCTTTGTGTGTGTGTGTGTGTGTGTGTGTGTGTGTGTGTGTGTGTGTGTGTGTGTGTGTTGTGGTGTGTGGTGTGTGTGCGTGCGTTGCGCGTGTGTGTGTGTTTGTGTGTTTGTGTGTGTGTGTGTGTGCGTGCGTGGGTGCGTGTGTGCGTGCGTGCGTGCGTGCGTGTATGCGTGCGTGCGTGCATGTATGCGTGCGTACGTGCGTCGTGTGTGTGGTGTGCGT